CAAATCATTTGAGTACTATCCTCCACTTAACCATTGGTCTCTTCCCAGTTTATTGCCACTTGAGATACTGCACACTTCTGTTGTTCTCCTCTGCACGGTGGCTGTCAAGTTCACAAGCTATTAGCCATTCGAAGCCAAAAAAAAAACAGGCTTTATGGTAAAATAAAAAAGCAAACTACAGAAATTAATCATATTCAGAAGCCCACAAATGTGGAATAATTAGTGTAGATCTTTGATTTCCAAAACCCAACACTACATTACATAAACTGAAACTCAAGACCCAAAATGTCCCAACTCCCCCCAAGCAGCAAAATAAACCATCTCGGAAGGCGGAAATGAGATTTGATTTCTAACTGAAGCCAAAAAGAAAACAAAAATTAAATTTGTCATCAAGGCTATGAACAGTAGGTCCTACATGACTTGACATCGCGTTGTTTCTGTCAATACCTGCACAAAGACCCTGGCAAATGTACAGCAGACGTCTTGCAGACTTCACTTTACAAACATGTCTTTCAATAGCTGAACCATGGTAAGACAATTTGTACCCAATTTGGCCCACTATTTGCTGCCTTTCTGTTGTTTTTAAACCCCTCTTTCTGGATTTTATAAATAAAAACATTTACCATTAGGCTCATTTTTTACAATTTCTTTTGTTTACTGTTAAAATTTCTATGACTCAAAGATCTATAGGTTCTGCTACACATTGGCAGAAAGCATGCTAAAACTCAGTGTGACACGGGTCTGCTCTATCTTTTTGACCAAGTTCATGCCCGTTTGCAAGAAATGGAGACCCAAGCCCACCTTCCAAGATTTGCCCGTTCTTCGCAGATTCAGTACTCACTTTCTAAGTTTCGTCCCCTTTTTAATAAAAGAACCTAACGCCATATTTATATTCTATAAAACTCCATCAGTTTGTCTTTCTTTTTTTTTAATTTTTAGGTATTGTACAAAGCGAGTTGTTTGAGCATGGAGAAGAAATGGGAGCAGCGGTCGTCTGGGTCACCTACAGTTTGTTTAGGGACTTGCGCTTGGACATGGTTAGCGGTTCAACTGATAATAGAACAATACCAGCTCTAAAGCACAGGCACCTAATGGATCAACCATTCTTCAACTGGCCAAGAGCTGCAACTTCAATCTCTTATCTACAAATATATAGAGGCTGGATTTCCAGTACCTACAATCTTGTTCTTCCTATATGGAAGAGTGTTTCTAGCCCCTCAATTCAAGCTTGCATTTCAACCTTTCTACCCACCCGTAAGTCCCCAAATAACAAAAAATAACAAATACTGATTTGCTGCACAGGAAGTAAAAGTTTTGATTTTGTTTTTGCATTTATGGTAGGTAGTAGCCAAATGCCAATAGGGAATAGTAAGAGAAATGGAATGGACCGCCAGAACCTGGAAGATGTAGAAGAACAGATGCGGAAAAAATAGGAGGTTGTAAGCAAAGAGTCGCTCCCTGATTCAAAAGTTACTGCTGAAAGGGCATATGCAACAGAGGGCGTCAGCGTTCAGAAAGCTGGTGGAAGCTGCTTCTCAAACTAACACTTAGTAATAGTAATTACTAGTACCAACTCTCTATTTCACTCCATTGTCCACTGAGCTGCTGATAAAACAGTAATCTCTTTTGTAATTATTAAAGGAGAAGAAAAACAAAAAGATTCAGTGTGGTCGTTGCACAGCAATTGCTATTATCCATATTTGCAAAATTTTGGTATTTGATGATTTGGGCATTCAGTGCCATGGAAACCCACTGATAATTGCATAAATTTTTTGTTTCAGGGTAATTGGGATTTTTGCGACTTTTGGGTGGTCTATGCTAAATTAACTGGTTAATATTGGGGATTTCTTTTAATTTGCAAGTTACATCTTCTGCAATAGAATCTGAATTGAATTGTTCTAATATCAATAATAAGTAATTTTGTCACTGAACCAAGCAAGAGGAAAAAAAATCCCAATTCCCATCACCTTACCCATTGCCAACGTTGTGCAGTTATATTAGAATACCATTTCTCAAATGAGATTATTGTTAATCATATTAGTTAGTAGTTCTTTTGTTATTTTTCAATTTTTATTATCAACTATGGAATGAATAGAAGTTAAATAATAAATGTTGCAAGGACTAAATTAATAATATTATCTTTCAAAATTTTTTTAAAAATTAAATTGTCGAAACATTGCCATATATGCTAACCGTTAAATTAACAATTTTTGGATAAAGTAAATAATTATATTAAATCTCAATGACTAATTAGATATTTACAAAGAAGAACCATGAAATTTATAAAATTATGACTAAAAATTTGAAGGACTAAATAATTATTAATTAGAAATATAGTGTCCAAAAATTGAAAATAATGTGACCTAACGGGCTGGACACAATATGCAAAAGACAAAATACAATTTTTTTTTATAAATAATTAATTTGGTTAGATAGTGAAAATGATTGCAACCTTATTGTCCGCCGCACTGTCAAGATTTTACATATTTATTTATTTTATTCACGTGATATCCCGTGCTTCAGATTTTGTAACCTACGTCAATACAAAATGGCCAATAATAATACATGGCGATTGTCTGCCCTTTAACATACGAGACAAGGGATAAATATTATTTAACCTGGTTTATGAATAATTTAATATATTAAATTAATTTATAAAATATTGAATTATATTTTTTTTTTCTTCAATAAATAATAAAAACACTTCTTATTACAATTAAAATTTATTTTTATAGTTTGATATATATAATACACTGTTACATATTGGATATAGGAAAATTTTTCTTCTAAAAAAAATATATATTAATTATGTGTTAAGATCATCTTCTATTTGAAGTACTACTTTTTTTATTTTTAATTTTGCAATTATGAATTGTATTTTAATCTTAGTAAATTATTAATTTAGATTTTGGAATTTTTTAAATTATCCATCGTTCATATTGAATGCAATGTTTAAATTGCAAGAAGTGTAACAATATATATTCATTTACCAATAAATATTAATCTCCTTAAAAAAAATTCATAAATGGGGCTCAGATTGTTGAATCATGGAGCATTCAAATAGCAGCCCATTAAAGTTTCTTCATGGAAAGTACATGTTTCTTTTTTAAATTTTTTTAATTTTTTTAAGTATATTATTTTCTTTTAAGTTAATACGCTCCCATACATCATTTACGTTCCCTTAACTCTGGTCCTTACTTGTAAGAACAGCTGTCCTACAAACAACTACACATAACTACATAAGAACCACTATTTTATAGGTGTTCAAATATTAATTTCGATCCCTACCTAATTATTTCTTCACATGACTAAGTATAAACTTAATAAACGAAAATTTATATTTTTAGACACAACAGAATATGATGAAAGTGACCTTTAGTCAACCTTTGGCCTAAAGGCATGGCCACAAATCGGGCAACCACCACACATTGAAAAAGATACTAATACTTTTTTTTTTTTTTTTTTTTAATTTTCGCTTTCAGCTTCTTTATTGTTTATCTTCTCTTTTTCCTATCTTGATCTCTGCATGATGAGCGGTGACCAAAGTGTTGTCTTGGCAACTTTGAACACTTGAAGCATCAGCAACATTTAAGATATGACTTTCCAATTTATAATTTTATATATAACACTTTGTGTTTTTGAAATGTAAATGTTAAATGCTTTGGTTGGTCTTGCAATATGTATAAAATTAAATGATCAATTTATCAAAATATTGAGTGGTTGGAAATTGCCACTTGCTATGGGACAGCTAAAGTTGGTAATATTTATCAAACGCAAACTTTCTTTTACTATATGTTTCCAAATTAAGAATGAAAATTCTTAATTTATATAAGTAGTATCGTGTATTATATTGTAATTACTTCATCAAATCACTTCTTAAAATGGTTAACACTATTAATCTTGTTGATTTAATGATTAATCATTCTCTAAATTTGCAACTTACGTAATTTCATTCTTCAAATATCATTAAATTAAAACTTACTATCAGTATAAAATATTTATTTGTTGACACATTTCAATTTTGTTATTCTAGATTTAGAATCCTTTATTTCAGACATACTCATGGCTAATAAGTTTAGATGGTCAATTAGGCTAATGTCCAAAACATGTCATTCATATTTTGTTTATCTTCCAAATCATGTCACTCATGGCTAATCAAGGCGTCATCTCCACTTATCTGTATTGAAGACTTGATCAATGTGTATTAGAGATTTACCCATCCATACGAAAACAGCTAGCATTTGCATCGACTCGACGATTAGAGCAAAAATTACGTATGTCCGTTAATCAGTTCTAAATAATTTCGTTATATAATAAAATTACATCTAATTAAGCCAGGTAAAAGTTAAAAGAGTTTGTTTGGTTAGTCATTCGTTTAATCCATTTGTTTTATCAAGTTTTATCCAATTAATTTTTCATCGTAGAGATTATTTGCCTCTTTTAACTATTCATATTTAATTGAAATTTAGTTTATTAAATACTAAGTTTTATTTTTCAACGGAGAAAAAAGTCCATAAGATTAATAGATTTATTTACCTCGACTTTTACAACTTATTGTAAAATAATTTAATTCGAAGTCACTAGAAATCAATTTTTATCGTTTTCACCTTCGTATTTTAGTTTTTGTTATTTTTTTTCTCAATTTTTTATTTTTTATTTTTAATTTCGTTATTTTTTTTATTTTTTGAACTAAAATTACAATTTGTTTACTAAAATTAAAAGTATTGGTGGAAATTTGAGATAAAAAAAATTATATTAGGCGAGCGCGTGGGAAGAATTTAAGTAGTGGATCGCTAGCGAGCGATGGTACAAGTCAATGGTTCGCACGTGTATAAAAAACCTTAAAATATACTGTCTTTATTCTTACCATAAATATTAAAATCCAAAGACAGTAACAAACTGTAATAAAATCACGGTAAAATCTAGTCAGACCACAGTCATCCAATAAAATAAAGAAGAGTACCCATTACCGACACTCTGACTCTAACATTAAGCTCTCCTCACGAGGAATCTAATGATGTTTTATTCCCCTCCAATACTACCCCCTTAATCCAACGCCTTATATCTCTTTATCGCTCCAAATCTAAATCTGCACCGTCCATTCAGATCCATACACGAAATATCATCATCTTCATCTCTCTCAGATCTAACACACAATACAGACGCAGTCTTACTGGCTTTCTCTCTCTACACTTGCACATTTTAGTGAGGAGCATTTTTTTTTAATACCCATTTTGCCCCTTAGGCTAGAGATGGTGGAGGCACAGACATGGACGACAAGGAGAATGAGCAACCCGAGGCTGGATGCCAATTCCCCCACCGTAGCTACTACTGCAGACCAAGTACTTGATATTCCGGCAACCCCACCTGGTGATGTGAGGAACAATGCTTACTCTGCCGCTGGATCATATTTTTCTCCCACCATTTTAACGGCCATGATCATTGCGTCATGGTACTTCTCCAACATTGGTGTTCTGCTCTTGAATAAGTACCTCCTCAGCTTCTATGGCTACCGGTACCCAATATTCTTAACAATGTTGCACATGATTTCTTGCGCTTGTTATAGCTATGTAGCAATAAAGTTTCTTGAAATAGTGCCGTTGCAGCATATTTTATCGAGGAGACAGTTCTTAAAGATCTTTGCTTTAAGTGCAATTTTCTGCTTTTCTGTTGTTTGTGGTAATACTTCTTTGAGGTACTTGCCAGTGTCGTTTAATCAAGCTATAGGAGCAACTACGCCGTTTTTTACTGCCATTTTTGCTTTCTTGATTACTTGCAAAAAGGAATCTGCCGAAGTTTACTGTGCCCTTTTGCCTGTAGTTTTTGGGATTGTTTTGGCCAGTAACAGTGAGCCTTTATTTCATTTATTTGGGTTCTTGGTCTGTGTTGGTTCTACTGCTGGGCGTGCTTTGAAATCTGTAGTTCAAGGGATTTTATTAACATCAGAAGCTGAAAAGCTCCACTCTATGAATTTGCTGCTCTATATGGCCCCAATGGCTGCTCTGATTTTATTACCATTTACCCTTTACATAGAAGGGAATGTTGCAGCAGTTACGATCGAGAAAGCAAGAGGGGATCCATTTGTTGTGTTCTTGTTGCTTGGGAATGCAACGGTGGCTTATTTGGTAAATTTGACAAACTTTTTGGTGACTAAGCACACAAGTGCCTTGACTCTGCAAGTGCTAGGCAATGCCAAGGCTGCTGTGGCCGCAGTTGTTTCAGTCTTGATCTTTCGGAATCCGGTGACCGTGATGGGAATGACAGGATTCGCTGTTACAATCATGGGTGTGGTGCTTTACAGCGAGGCAAAGAAGAGATCCAAGGTTACAACCCATTAAAAGATAATATTAAAAGATTCATTTTGATTGCCACAAACACTGGTGCGGCTCTTTCTTCTCCTTTTGCTTTAATACTTTTCGCTTTAGCGTTCAATTTCAACTTTTGATTTTTATAATTGGAAGGAAGAAGAGAATTCGGATAAATTGGATTGTACAGGGCATAAGTGGAACATAAGGGAAAGGATTATGCTATTTTTCCTCTTTTTAATTTTTTTTGGCTTTGAATTTGTCACTGTTGGGGATAGTTGTAGAGAATAAAATTCTCTCTAACTTTTACCTGTGTAACCTTATATAATTGAATTCTCTTGCAAATGGACAAAAAACAAGGAAATTGATTTCTAAGTGTTTTTATTGGAGAGGGAACAAAGTTCCCTCTTTTATTTGTCAAAAATATTACCTATTGTTGCATTGGTCTTTTCTCAATCCTTTTGATATAGCATCTGACTGTGGATTAATTTGGCATTCTTTGGATAAGCTTCTGGGTATGGAGCTAGCTATTTGTCTTCTTTCTTTTCATTGCTATGTTTGCTTGTTGTCCTCAACTAAACTAGCAGCAACCTTGTTTTTTATTTATTTTTTTTTTTTTAGGCTGTTTGCCTTTAATATCCAAATTTCTAGGTGAGGGGTGTGTTCAAGCACTTTGGTTTTACTCAGATCCAGTTTTCAGATCAGGATTCAATTATGTAAAATTTTTAAACAAAAAGAAGAATGAAGTTAATGGCGCCTTCAGTTGAATCCTTGATGAAACTGAATTTAATTTGACTGTATATTTCTATGTGGTGAACTGTGATTGTCATCGAGAGTCATGGTATTATTGGACGGATGGAGTATGCCAATTTCTTGCAATTATTTGTCATCCAGGTTGGCTTTGCCCATTGGCATTTTTGGATCTATTGAGAATTAATACCATGCATAAAACAGAGAACTTGATGTTCATTGATTCTTGATAGCTAGAAGACATTCAAATCAGCCTGCTGGCAAAGTTCTCCGTGAAATGATGATAATAATAATAATAATAACAAGGCACATTCTAGTTAATTTTTAGATTCAAATTATTCCTGTTTGATATATTTCTCTCCTTCAGGCTAATGTTCATTCAATTAGTTAGCAATTTGAATGAATTTAATTAAGTTTAGCAGCTTTGGAGCTGATTTCATTTCACTGAATTTCATGAAGGCTTGCAATGAAACTTATGGAGTCTCAGTCCAAATGGCATGGAAATCTAAAATTGGGAACAGGTTGTTATGGCCAATTCTCTCTAAATCAAACAATATAATGTGCCTTTCTATTATTTTTTTTACCTTATTTTTCAGCGCCTATAAATAGAATTTGCTATGTAGCTTTCTTCTTATAGCTTCATCTTCTGTTGTTATTGTTATCATATTTCTCTTGGAATGTCTTTCAAATTCATTGCCTGACTAGCAGAATTAAACCAAATTCTGTTTCTTAATTTGGACTGTTATGAAGACAGAACATGACTTGGTAATGACAGGATTCCATGTGGGTAGTCACAGGCATTTAGCCTTGCATTAGAAACTGACATTTCATGGAACTTTGTCCACTTCTTAAAGAGTCCTTGCATAGTTATGGTCCAACTAAACTTCTGATTATTTGCATGATGAACAAATGAAAATTATGTTCTAAGAGAATATGCAGCACCATCAGGTGCTTGTTGGTTCGCTTTAGCTCGAAAGCGACTAATTTTAGCATGAAAGCTGACATATGCACCTTCAACGCCCCAAGACTAGTTTTTGACTAAGATGCTTCTGATTTCTGTCACAACAACCAACCACTGTGTAATTGGTTTGTACTTATACCTTTTTTGGTAACTTTCTGGGCAGTGAACTATATATATCACGTGGGACATGAAAATTGAAGCACTTAGCTTCAGATTTATTGGTTGTTACAACTTCCTTCTCAACTTAGCTTAGCTTAGTACATAATTGTTAGTTGAAAAATGAGTAGTTGAAGGGTGAGATTAAAACTCTTCGCATGAACTCCATCTTGTCATTTCAGGTTGAATATATTACAGATTTTTAAAAGCTTGGACAAGCTTTTCTGTTTCAGGCTTGGCCTTTGAGTAGATACATTATTTTCTTTTGATCCATCAGAAAGATACTGACAGGAACTCTGAATGCCTAATTTTCTGCACTGCTAGGGCTTGCAATAATAATTTTTTATTAATTGCAATTAATGTTTTCTAGTAGTTAGGATCTCTTTTGCAGGTGGCGTAATACAGTCCCATTGACTTTATATTAGAAAACCAAAGAATACTTTACTTGGTAGCTTGGTGTACAATACAAGCATATGGACTATTTTCTCATGATGATACACATTTTAACCCAAGTTGATACCTTCAATTATACTGCTTTAATCAATCTCATTAACTTTTTTTTTTTTTTGAAAATTATCTCATGAACTTTAATTGCCATAAAATCTGCAATTTTGGGGATAAATTGTCAAATTAATATTGTGAATTTTTGTTTTTCGGATAATTTTATTCGTTGTCGCTTAATTTAGTATTAATAGACTTTTTGGTTTTTATTTAAATGAAAAATACTTGGAACTTCAATTATGTAACAATTGAATGATTCTTATCAATTTTGGAATAAGCTTCACTCGAAAGTTGATCTGTTGAAAATAAAAATTCATTTTTTAAATTCATATCACCTACCAAACTTACTCTTTTAGATTAATTTACAAAACTAAAATTAAAATACAAAAAAAGCTAAATAAAATAATCATTGAGATTTAGCCTAAAAATGATTTCCATCTATGGCTATGGATGTTCTATATTAAGGGCGTTGCTGGCCGGTAAAAGTGGCATGGCTTCTCTGCCGCCACCAAATGTGCTTGTAAATATTGCAATTGAAAAAAATGGTAATACTTTCTTATCAATGAACCAAATACTATTACAGCCCAAAAGTTTTAAATCCAGATGAATTTAAGAAAAATAGAAAATACACTCAACCCACAATTAATAAAATAAAATTCCTTCGGCAACATTAAACCATGATCATAGCAAGAATTAAGCTAGCAATGGCAAAATGACACCCAGATATAACAATGGTGCTTGGTGCTGCTGATGCTGAATCTGGGTTTTGAGTAGGAGAAGGTGAAACCGCCGGAGATCCCAACTGAGGCAATACAGTAATAGTAAGTTTCATGTTGCCAGGCTCACAATGATTAGGCACACCACAAATGTACCATTTCTTTCCAGGAGTGGCGAGCGAGATTATATCTTCTCCTGTCGTCAAGGCTACTGTGCCATTAGCGGACATACATTGTTGGAATCCATTTCCATCTACTCTCAACACATTGTGTGATCCTGGTTTATACCTGAAAACTGCACCACCAAGTTATTTTTAGTTACAAGTAATTAATTTAAAACAAAAATGCTTATCAGAACTATGAGACTGTAAAGAAATGTAGAGTTTTTACCAAGTCTGTCTCCAACATGGAATTGGTTTCTCTCCGCCCAAGCTTGGTAATCAAAATTGGTAGTCCAACCAGTCTCATCACCAACAATAAAATCTGTAGCCAGAATTGAAGGAATGAACAAAGCAATAGTGGCAATAAACATGCACATCTTAAAAGACATTCTGCAAAACTATTGTGCTTTAAGCAACTTTTATATTTGTTATTGGAATACTATTTGGTTGTTGTACAAAAAGCTCAAATCTTTTTGTCTATTTATAGTGTTCATTAATCTCTCAAATTAACAGAATAATAAAATATATATAACCGGCAAATGAGTCCGGCTAGAGGTGGCAACGCCTAATGGCAGCATTGGAGAATGAAACGTTATTTCAATTAAAATTATTTTGTTTTTCTTGTATCAAGACTGGTTTTTATGTAAGACTAGTTCAATAAACTGCCAAGCTAATTAAGGTGACTTTTTCCTCTGTAAATTTCTGTACATTAGTGTTAAGAAAGCTTATTGCTCAGGGCCATTTCGCAGTGTAGCGTTCTAATTTCATGCCGGGCCCAAGATGATGATTCAGTCAATGTAGTCCTTCAGGATATTTTCATTGGGCCAGATAGTGTTTAAATTATTACTCGAAAGGCCTTTAGTAAGTCATAATTGCAAACAGCTTAATGGCCACTAATCCAAGAGGAAAAGTTTCCTTTCGAGTTGCGGACGACAGGGAAAGATTTGCCAGTTACGAGTTATTCACGGGTCGAAGAAAAGTTTTCTTCTGAATGGCATTGAACGAGGCTACCTATGCCACAAATTTTAAAGATTTTGTATCACGGGAAATCCCTCCAAAGCTATCTACCTTTTTCCAAGAAAGTATTGGCTTCAGTTCCTCTAACCAAAACAAGCTCAGTTCCTATCTTTTCAGCTTCTCGTGACATCCCTTAATCATTACATATATATATATATATTTACGTAAGTACCTGCAAATATTATGTTAAGCAATTCAACACAAAAAAAATTGTCAAACACTTGGATTTTGTTTTTCGTTTGATCATTTACAAAAAAGCAAAATGGAGAATAGAGAGAGACCAAATTCTCATAGTTCTCTTGAGACTCATTTTGTAGATATCCATGAAATATTGCCAGAGGAAGAAGAAGAAGAAGAAGAAGGAAAATCAAGAATGGCAGAAGATAAAGCAAGAAGAAGTCTAAACAGACAGTTTAAACCTAGAGAAATAAGAAGACCTCGCAGAAGTACTTTTAGCAGGCAAGTTTCACTAGAGACAGGGTTTTCAGTTCTTAAGAGAGAATCTAAAGCTAATAATGAAAGGAGGGTTCTTCCAAGAAGTGGACATAGTTTTGGAGGATTTGATTCAACTAATAGAATTAATATTGGGAAAGGAGATTTTAGTATTTTCAAGACCAAAGCCACTCTTAGTAAGCAGAATTCATTGTTGCCTGGAAGAAAAGAAAGAGATACGGGAAATCAAAAACTTGATACCTCTAATGGGATTGATGAGTCTGTTAATGAAGGAGTTCCTGCTGGAAGATACTTTGCTGCTCTTAGAGGACCTGAGCTAGACCAAGTCAAGGTATAATACTTTATCACTCATGTATAATATTCCAATATCTAAGCTCAGAATTTAAAATCCAACATTCAACAATTGAAAGTATAGCTAGGTGGTGTACAAAAAGCCAAAATTTTTTAACTGTAAACTCTAGTTCTTTAATTGCTGATCTTAGTGTCGTTATTTCAATTAGATTTTCTCCCTTTATTTTGTTGTGCAGGAATATGAGGATATCCTCCTTCCAAAAGATGAGAAATGGCCTTTTCTCCTGAGATTCCCTATTGGTTGCTTCGGAATTTGTCTTGGCCTGAGTAGCCAAGCTGTTCTATGGCTTAATCTTGCAACAAGCCCAGCAACCAAATTTCTCCACATTAGACCATTTATTAACCTTTTTCTCTGGGTTTTAGCAGTCGCGGTCCTAATCTCAGTTGCCTTTACATACATTCTCAAATGCATATTCTACTTTGAAGCAGTTAAAAGAGAGTACTTTCATCCAGTTCGTGTCAACTTTTTCTTTGCACCGTGGATTGTGTGTATGTTCCTAGCCATTAGTGTACCTCCTATTCTAGCTCCTAAAACCTTACACCCTGCCCTTTGGTGCACATTTATGGGACCATATTTCTTCTTGGAGCTAAAAATTTATGGCCAATGGCTTTCTGGTGGAAAGAGACGTCTTTGCAAAGTAGCTAATCCATCTTCACATCTTTCTGTGGTTGGAAATTTTGTTGGTGCAATTTTAGCTTCTAAAGTTGGATGGAAGGAAGTAGCTAAGTTCTTGTGGGCAATTGGGTTTGCACATTATCTTGTAGTGTTTGTAACTTTGTACCAGAGATTGCCAACAAGCGAAGCATTGCCTAAAGAACTTCATCCTGTTTATTCTATGTTCATTGCAGCTCCATCTGCTGCTAGTATTGCTTGGGAAACTATTTATGGTGATTTTGACGGTTTGTCAAGGAATTGCTACTTCATTGCTCTTTTTCTCTATATTTCCCTTGTTGTACGAATCAATTTCTTCACAGGCTTCAGGTAAACCTAACCAATATATATGTATCTGTTAATTTAGTCCAATCCCGTTCAGACTAGTGGTTCTGGTTCATATGCTATTCTTGTTTGATTCATATACCTGGTCTAGAATTGGTCTCTATCAAATAATTCAGTGAAACTAATTCCTTAATTTCTGTGTAAAATTAGTTGTGTATATATAAAAGAATCGGAGGGAGTAATAATTAAGCTAACAACTTGACAGGTTCTCGGTGGCATGGTGGTCTTACACTTTCCCCATGACAACAGTATCAGTGGCAACTATCAAGTATGCAGAGCAGGTTCCTGGTGTTCCAAGCAAAGTGCTTGCACTTGGGCTGTCTTTCATGTCTTCAACAATGGTGTCTGTACTCTTCGTCTCCACCCTTCTCCATGCGTTCGTTTGGCGGACTTTGTTTCCTAATGATCTTGCCATTGCTATAACAAAGAAAAGACTTGTCAAAGACATAAAACCCTTCAAGAAAGCCTATGATATTAGGCGTTGGACAAAGCAGGCTATTAATAAGCAGAGTCAACCAAACAAGAAAGGAGAAGATGATGGTTTGCTTACTCCACAGTAAACTGGAGATGGAACAAACTTTGCATAACAGCACTTGTAATCTTCTTAATTGCCTGCCTTATTAATAATATTTTTGAGCCATTAATAATTTTGATACATTGCATTTGTCAGTTATCCTAAATGTCTTATACATTTGATTCAAGTATATGATGTTAAAATTCATAAATTGCATAACGAACGGAAATTATTTACTCCTATAGAATGTTAAAATTCATAATTTCAAGTATAAATTAATAATGTCATTCATATTTTAAAAATGTTTCAACTTCCTTAATAAGTTTTTTAACTTTTTAAAAATTAATGGAATCAATAAATATCTTTAATATTATTTTAAATATCTATAGAATTTTAATGAAATTATAAAATATTAATATTTTTTCTTTTTTAAAAAAATAATTACTTTTTTATCGATATTTATTTATTTATTTTATTTATGATGTAATTTTTTAGTTTAGATATTAATATTTAATAGAGCATATATTAACCCGAAAGGATGAGATGAGATCACATGTCTCTTTTGAGGATGAATTTAAATATCAAGTTCGAGCATTGGATACACGGAAATTATTTACTCCTACATTTAATCTGTTACTTCTCAAATAAGTAAAATGAAATTTAAATAATTGAATTAAAAAGGTAGTAGACTCTCCATGTACTAATAGTAATAAATTGCAGATCCATGTACATGGATAAAAGCATATCCATAAGAGTTAAACCATTCCTGTGCGATTTTTCACTAATAGTCATTACATGTTTGCTCGCTATGAAAAAAGGAAAAAGGAAGGTATATAGGTTGAGCAAGCGCTAATGGCTGTACAACACTGGCCCTGCAAACCGATTTTCTAGGATTAAGGACAGCCCTTCAAATTAGAGAGAGCAGTTAGCTTTACATAACTGTGTGAGATCAGTTTCTTAAGAGCTAAACAATTGATGTGGATTCCCTACCATCGATTCTGTATACAACAAAAAGGTTAAAATCTTTTCCAACTGTTTTGTACTGTTCAAGTATTCATCTTTTAAACTCCTATTCAACTGCAGAATCTCATCAGATGCTGTGCAGAAAACCACTTGAAATTTCTGATTTCTGTTACCATCACCGGACGCCCAAGCTCCTATGGCAATTTCATAGCAAAATTTACAATTCAGAATGTGAAGGGAGAAAATTGTTGTAATAACCAACTTGATTTCCTATGGCATACCTCATGCTCAATTGGTTTGCCACTTCACTGCATTGAGTCTGCTTTCCACCAAAAATAGATGGCTTTTCTTTCATCAAATGTGTCGTCTATAAAGTACACAAAAATTCCATGTATCAGATATGGGAGAAAGATATTTCATATAGAACTTAAAATTTTTCAATTAGCATTGCAAGCACAAGCGAAACTATGAAGATTTCAAAGGAGTTCCTGAATGGTGCCATATGCTCACCTTATGTTCTGTTTGCAAATGATTCAATCTATTTTCTTTTGAGCCCTTGATATCAATGAAACAATTATGAATATTAATCAAAGTGTAAATAAAAATCAATGATATATCATGTCCACCGAGATTAGGATTTAGAAGGAACAAGGAGTTCATACATTTATGGATAAAAAACTTGGTCGGGGCAATTGCAGCCGAGATCCATTATTTGTCTGGAGCTCAGCTTTCAGAGAGAGCTGCATTTAGGAAAACAGAAAAAGAACACACATGAGAATAAAGGGAATAATATTAATGCAAAAAATTTAAGATAACAAAAACAAGAAAAAACAAGGCAAGATGAAATAATTGCATCTGCGAAGAGTTTATGACAGTAATTTTTTCAAATAGAGCTCAAAATTTACATTCTACAAGTTATACCTTACTGAAAAGTTCTGTAGGTGGGTCATGCTGAATCCTCTTTTCTGTACGGAAGTTAAATTCCTGCAGAATTCAAAGTTTCTTATGGTCTTAGGTGATAATGCAATACAATTAATATACAAGAACACAGCAACTGGTATCATCAATGAAACTACCAGCGGCACTGTGGTCTCCCGCTTGCTGTTTCGGAAAATACCAATGTCCCCTTTACTTGTGAATATCTGCAGTCAGACACGAAGAACATTTATTAATCATCACTACTAGCATTCACACTTACGATTTGAACAAAATTTCTGATTACCTTCTTATTCAAAGGGCGAGCTTTGAATATGTGTGTTGTGCTACATCCATCTTGCTTTTGAGCATCCATTGTGCTTGGTCTGAGAAAAGGAGCGACAGAAAGTAAGCATTTTGTATCTCTCTCTTCCATTTCTATCTACTGGTCATGTGTATAAGCATCATAAACTGCAAATCCAGCACTTTCCTTTTCTCATTCTAGAGTTAATATAAACGATAGTAATAATTCTGTTACCTTCTGGATTCTCTGTTCCCCATCTCTGCAACGGAAATTGTAGTAGGTTTGTCCAACCCCTGCAAATGATAGCATTCAGTTTTTTTCTATCTTTAATTACCTAGAGCATATCATTGATTTAAATGCAAACAGGATGAATCAAATAATAATGCACTTTATGAATGAGAACAGTACAAACACATTCTTTCCAATAAGAAAGCTAAGTGGGATTGAGGGTTGAATGCCAACACCATTCAAGGAATTTTTAGCACCTGTTCAGAATCATTGCACTGAAACGAGGTAGATGAAACTGCAGATGCATGCTGCATTGCCCTCTCTGATGTCTTAAGGTGAAATTCCTGAGAAGCAGTGCAAACACAAATTTTAGCTAAATAATGATCAAAAATATTTGCTGAACAAAAATGTTCCCTCTTCTGTATCTTTAAAGCCGGTCAGCAAAATGGTAGTAGGGTCTGTATTTCATTATTTCTGAGATACTAGATAAGCATCTGTGCCATTAATAGCTTAAAGCAGTTTCAAATTGCATTTTCTAACAGCATCTAAAAGTGTATTTTTCAGAAATCAGTTTTCAACCTCCATTGCCAAACAGACTATTCTGCTCTGCAGAGACAGAAGAAATTTTTTAAGAGAAATATAAAGCAGGAAGCAAGTTCAAGTACTTGAAACTCTGGCAACTTTGGAGTACTCTTCTTTGGAAGAGGCAACGAGGGAGCCTCGAGAATCTGCAAAATGTGAATATGATCTTATCAGAAACAGCAGATAGAACTTCCATAAAATATCATGTTTCTAGCAACTTTTTGGTACCAACTTTTCTATTCAATGGGCGTGCTTTGAATCTTTGTACAGCCACCGTTACACATTCAAATCGTGTGGTATTTTTTTGCCTGGATTATTAGAAAGGTTTCAGTGGATCCGTAAGAAATCAAGGAGCACATTGTACAGTTCATCAGGGTATTAAAACATAAGCAACAAACCTAATCCTTTGTGCCCTATGTGCTGTTTCCAGGTCAGGCTCTCTAGGAATGGTGAGCCTGAGCTTTGAATGAGCACAACTTTTATCAACAGCTCCATCCTGCAAGACCGCATAGAGATATTTGGTTTAAATAAGATGCATAAAAACATTTCTTTAAATATGATAAATATAACCTCTCCCTTGTTCAGCCCCACAATGTTCCTGTTATTAGAGATTATTCTTTTATCTGTGGATCATACCATATACCAAAAGATCATATCTAAAGACAAATAAATTTGACATCGTTTTATGGTTTGAAGCTTTTAACTTGTTCTTTCCAGCATACCATGATATCCAAATTAAAAAAATTTTTACCCAGAACTTGCAAATGACCAGTTAATATAAACAGGGTTTTCATTCCTTTTGAAGGATATATAGAATCAAGAAATTTTTGCCTTAAAAGTCACAAATTTTTGATGTGAAGTTTTGGAACTTTACCTTTTGGGTTCAGGATATTTTAATATATATGCCATCACATCATCAATTAGCGCACATATTCTCAAACATTGGTTTAAGTTATATTGCAAGAGAAATTTATTTGATCAAATTGCAATGGAAATAAAATTATACTTTTAAGGGGCAAATGCATGCATTAGACCAATACCTTTTTAGGTGCCTTGTGGATGAAATCAGCTTGTTGCTTTGCATCACCAACCTGATAGAAAACAGGTTAATCAACATAGAAAAATCATATTAAAGCATTAGTTGTGACCCTGTGGGCTCAATTTCGGAGACAAGGCAGAACTTAGTGCCAGGTGCACAAAATGCTAGGTCAGGTAACATGCCAATCCATAGCCACCCAAGTTGTTATCACCTCTGTTAGTTTGCTAATGGGATATGCACAACGCACTAAAATATCATAAGCACTATTCCATTAACATGTATTTATGTGTTAACTGCCACTGTGGCTGTGGACATTTCAACCAAATCCATACATCAAATTAAGGGATTACTTTTTAGGCTGTTATCAATGGAACTCATTACTCAGCAAAGCCTAGATGGCTCCCCAGCCAGTTTTTCAAAGCACAAGCAAACAAAAGAACTACATCATATTACATACCCTACAAGAGTGACCTCCTTCTAGCTTCTGCCTCTTGGCAGCTTGACTTTCCACCATAGAATTGCATAAGCTCTTCTCCTTTTGAACCAGTAGCATCTGAAGTCTAGCAAACAGCAAACATAATATTACAAGTCAATTTATCACAAGAAGGCCTCTGACTCTAGTTCCATAATTGATATGCAGGTGCTGCCTGTCTTAAGCAAATAAATTAACTTCGTTATTGAATAATCCTATTTAAAAATTTAGGGGACACATGTACCATTGTGCATAAGAGAAAGATCAAAATAGTAAAGTAGCTGATTTATCAAAGCCACTGATAATTTCACAACACAAGAGTTAAGGATCAGGGCATGCTTAAAAAATAAATCATTCTATACATGGAGTCCAAGATGTTATCCATAACCCTAAACGAGTTCAAAATCACAATTTCCAAAATAAATTAGCAAGAAGAAAGTACTTTCCAAGAATCACCTGGAACCATTGACATGAAGCAGACGATTTTGCTTTGCCAACATGCTTGCTGTGGGTTTCATCAAAGTTGAACACCTCGGAAGATTTGGCTTTACAGTAGATTTGACTTTTGCTCTTGCTTTATCAGTAGATGAATGATTGTAATAAGTCAATCCTGCAGGCACAACAGCAGCAATCTAAGATGCAATGGAAATAATGTAGGACCTATGGTCAAATTGTGGCAGATGCAAGTTATCACTATCTTAAAAGTACTTAATTTCAGCTGGCAAGGAATTGAGAAATTCCTAGTCAATATGATGATGGAGATCAATATCATAACTGAATGATATTCTATTTCCTGGATATATATTGGCAAAAGCTTGATACAAACCAGAAATTATGTTTGTAGATAATTCAAATGATATGGAACACAAAGCACATTCCACAATCACATTCATCATCTGAAGTATCAAACTATCATTATATTATCTAAAGTATTAAACTACTCAAAACCTCTTGCAACACATAAACAATCATCAAAACTGAACCTGTTTTCAATTCCAGTGGTTCATTTGAAAATTTTTGCAAGTTGCTGCTTTGCAAGTTGGTGAAGATTCCTCTATATGTTCCTTTGGATTCTGGATAGGCAAAAAGAAAAAGTATCAATATGAATATGCCATCTGAATCACCAATTTTCCTTTTTCAACCATTAAAAACAACTTGATTGAGGTGTTTATTCTTGGTGCAAAGCTGTGTACGAATACTTTTAACCCCTGCTTCATGAGTTCTCTCCCTATCAAAGCTTGAGAAAAAGTAATCTCGTGTTAGATTTTTAGATGACTACTGTTCATGTCTAAAGGTGCCTGAACCTTGACGTGATGGAGATTTGAAACTGCTGAGCACTTCAAGTGCAGATCAGTAGGTCAACCATTTGCGGAACAATGAATTAGAAATTCTACTTCAACTCCTACTAGCATTTATATTTGTTTTCAGAATCCACAGGTTATTTCAAAGGACAGCTTTGACCACACCTAAGGGCCAAGCTTGTGCTGGTGCTCAAATAAGCTTGAACTCTCGTACTTACATGGATCACCTTGAGTGAATTGCAAGTTCGATACAACCGCTTGCAAAAACACTCTAGCTCACGTTTGATCATGGTTAGAGAACCATTCACAGTTAAGTCACACCAAAAACCTTGAGAATAGTTGCAGAAAACATTAGGGGAACATACATTTTAACGCACTTAATCATTACCTTTGTTCGCCTCCATGGCAGGAAGATCTGCAACAAGATCATCACTACAGTCATCACTGATCAAAGTGGCCGTGTTTTCCGCATCGTTTGATTTTGGAGAGGTTCTAATATCCTCCAGAAGACTATCCTCTCTCAACACAAACTTTGCAACAAAAGCTGAAAGAAGAAAATAAAAAGAAGAAGAAGAAAAATAATTAATACACTCTTATCAGAAAACAGAAATTCTTGTAATCGCTAGTAAATGAGACATTTTTATGTAATGGAGCTAGCTAAAGCTTAAATCAGACCAACTGATAAAACTAAAATGACAAAAAGATTCAAATAATGCACTTAAAAATCAGCGATTGCCATTTCCATGATCAATCAACATTAGGGATTTTGATGTCGAGAGTAACTTACGCGATGGAGGATAGCTCTGAGCCGTCTCGAACCACCGCTCAGCCTGACGCGCGTCAGCAGCAGACTCCTCACGGGTGAAATCGAAGAACATTGCCGCATCAAACTCATAATCGATATCAATTTCACGCGCCTCAAACACAAATTGCATTTCAATTTCCTCTTCCATTTCCATTTCCATTTCCATTTCCATCTCCATCTCTAAAACCTCTCTTCCAATAGCTTCACGTCAATGTACTGACACTCAACACCATAGAAGCTTCTCTCTTAAATGCATATGCACATACGTTTTTGATTTGATTCGATAAAAACCCTAAATCTGGAAAATGCGAGCTGGAAGTTCTGTATTAGCAGAGAAGAAGAGAAACGAAACGCAATTGTAGTATCCAAGAAATAAATAATTTGATTTCATTAATTTACTTTCCATCCAGAGTTTGAAATGTACAACATTATAAAGCACAAAGTACAAGCAGTTTTTTTATTTTTTTGGATTTATTAGAGCACTGAGTTCTGTAACTTCGGTTTGTAACGATCCAAAATTTGAATATCTAGAAATAACATAAACCCTTGAATAATGTGTGTCGAAAACCTTAAGACAGTTTTGCCCCTATATATATCGGAGAATGGCAGATGTTGGCTTGCGGGTGAGAAGTGAAATTTGATTGGAGTGGAGGGATAAGATAGTAAATTGAAGTGACATTTTGAGAATTTTGATTTTTGTCTTTGAATAAAGCGACATAGGGTTTATTGGGGTTTGAGAGTGGTATCGGGCAGAGAGAAACTGTCGATGGAGTCTGAAATTTCGGCGGGAAGTGGATTTGCCCTTCTGGTTTTCAGAGAATTGCAAGATTGCCACTAACGGTTATTTTCCTTTGTCAGGTAATAGGAGTCGGGAAGTGTGGGGGCCCGACCTTGCAAATTCAAAAATGAGAGGGAGACGATATAGAGGGAGACGATATAAGGTTAAATGTGGAATTAAAATAAAGAAAATGGTTGATTTATTTGATTTTTTAACAATGAAATGTTTTATTTAGTTAAAATTAAAATGTTGTTATATTGGTCGCACTGTTAATATATAAATTCATTCCATAATTTTTTACTTTATATTCATGGAAAATTCATTCATGAAACACTTAATTTATAAAATTATATCAATAAAATATTTATTAAATAATTAAAAATATAACAATTATAGTTTTAAAAATTATTATTATAATAATAATAATAATAATAATATACATCAAATCAATATTCTAGGCATAAAATTAAAAATTTTAAAAATTATTATTTATTAGTATGAAAAAATGTATAATTATTACCAAAAATCGTAATTTAAAAACATAATATGTTCCCCTGAAAATTAAAATATTATAAAATTAAAGTAATAAAATTTAAAAGTTAAATTATATATTTGGTAGTTGCAAGACTTGAATTATGCAATTTTTTTTTTCAATATATAAATGTTTGATTTTGGAAGTAAAGTTGGCTTGCAAATGGAGTCAATTTCCACTCGGCCAATAAGAATATACAAAATAATGATGCGAATTTAAATACATTTACTAAACACAGTCTCATCTTAGCACTAAAATATAGACTATTTATAATAATAATAATTTAAAATTAGGTAAGCTATTATATTTATTCATCGATAAAATTTTTTTTAAATTGTTCATATTTTTATTTTTTTACCAAATGATCAAAAATACACTCGTTACGTTAAAATTTTATTTTTAATTAATTTAATGTAAGAAGTCAGCCAATATATAGGCCTAAGTAAGATTTTTCGATGGGGAAAATCTCAGGGGTATATAAAGATTATTTTGTTGAGATGGACCGTCGTGTACCACACGTTGAAGAAATTTGAAATGTGGGTCTTGTGATGATAGATCATCATAACTTAAAAGTTAGCTGTTATTTTCTTGGGAATTGACTTGCTATGGAAACTTATCATATAAAAGTTGAAAGGTAACCAGTCGGTAGATGAAAATATTAAAGGGCGGTACCTAAAAGAAACATATAAACGTTGCTCATTATTATTCCAAGAATCCATTAGTGTATCTGATATATATGTTCATTTAAAGTCATCACGAGATCCACATTGGATACCTTCATATACTGTCAGTGCGACTCATTAATCAAAATGAAAAAAATGTGCTGAGTCACATAAGGTTCAGAACTCGCTACTTGCTTTATTTCTTGAATTACTTACAGAATGAAAATTTTTTTTTTTTTAGCATTTATATTACTTAAAATTTTCTCTTATAATTTCTAATATTATGGTGTCTAACAACTTTTAAATTAATTTTCAATGTTTTAATTAAAATACTCTCTCTATTATTTATAATGTTTAGCAATATAGTATTTATATTAATATTTATAGAGTTCGAAGGCAATATAACATTTAAACTTGTATTTATAGAGTTTGAAATAATGGATCATAAAATATAATTTTTTTTAACGTTTAATGAAATGCTTGTAAAATGATTGATATATACGAGAATAATTACTAGTTACTAAAACAGCTAATTTTGATGAACAATAACTTAGAAATATGATTATTATCATTTGATAATATGGTATATCTTTCAAGTTTTCAATTTAGTTGTTAAAATACATATAATGAGTACGTTGTTACTGTAAAATTCAAATTCAGATTTTTTTTATTGTTAAGGAAAAAGAATTTTGAAGTAGAATTAATATAAAATATTCCACCTAACTTAACTAACTATTGTACTCATATATGTAAAGACTATAAGAAAATACATTTTCAAGTTAGGATGGAGTATATTTGAAGGAGCTTGTTGATTTCAGGATAAAAATATATATATATATATTAATTTTCACTTTCTTTAACATTCATTCCCCTAAATTCCCTGATAAATGGTTGCACGGCCCAATAAACGAACGGAAAGGCCCTAATTGAAAGCTGCATATTCCGCCGGCAATGGGTGGGTGGCCCAGCTAAAGAAATGAACTACTGGCCCAAATAAGTTCATTTCGATCCTTGAGCTAAAATATAGAGCACACATGTCAATGACAATAAATAGCCTATAACCATCACAAAATTTCTTATCATCTCTAACCTCTCATCACTATCAAACTATTTGTTTCTGTACCCTCTTTGTATCTCTGGCACATAATACCGTAAAATCAACTAAAAAATCAAACCAATGAGTTCAATTTAACTTTTAAGAAATTTGGTTTGATTTTGATTTTAATAGTAAAAATCAAATTGAACTAAATTGATTTGCTCGGTTTATAAACAAGTCAATTTATTTGATTTGTATTGATTTAATTCAAATCAACACCTAAGTTCGGGTCTCTAAGTAGCGACAACTGCCCTAAAGACTCACGTTTGCGGCGGCTCCGGTGGATTACCTTGACCAAAAGCATGTAATGCTCAAACGTAATCCCCATACGCTATGTATGCCAATCTATAAACGTCAAGAAAAACAGGGTCACAATATGCTTGAAGAAATGTCGACCTCAAGAGTTCAATCCCAATAGGTAAAATTGTAGGAAATGACAAAAATGGAGCAGACAAGTGTCACAAATTGTAGCTGGAATTTCCAATTCCGCAGCCATCAAACTCCAAGCCAGGACACAACGCCTTTAAGTAATCTGTACTTGGACGCAAAAACCTTTCCAGGCTAATTTTGTCCTGCGAGGATACTTGTAGCCATGGTATATTTTTCTTTTGTAGAAATATAGCCGAAAAAGAAAACAAAATAATATGTATTTTATAATAGTAATAATTTTTTAAAGAAATGGGACATAAAAAGGAATTTTCATTTAATAATTGAAAAATTTGCGTTTATATAATAAATTTTTTATTGCAAATGAACTTCTTTTTTAAAAATATCTCACCCTTAAAATATAAAAAATATAAAAAGCCCACAAAATTTGCTATAAAACTATATAAAATAACAAAAAACTTAAATTCCCATAAATTTGAAAATACAACTTATTTTAATTGGAGGTTTGCGATCATCAGGCCCGGAGATTATATTAAAAAAATTGCTACTTTGTTAATGATGACCCTATTATTAAGTAATTGTTTTTATCGATATAAAATAGTACAAAAATAGAAGCTTTATTCAGTTTTTGAGTGTGCAAGCCGCAATCTAGAAGCCAATCACTGGGCAATCATGTCGAGAAATATAAATGCGACGGTGCTGTGTGTGATTGGATCACTCAAAATTCCACATGAAATACGTAAATCATGTGTGTAACCCAAGTAAACAAATTTATGCAACAAAATATAAACTTTAGATTCTTAATAAATATGATTTTTGCTTTTTTTGAAAATATAATTTATTAATTATAATATCAAACATTGCAATTATGATTTTCATTTTAATCTCATAAATTTCATAATGAAATAACTCCACTAGAATCCAATCAATCAGATTTTGAAAAATGTAGGGGTATTATGCTTGCCTTCTAGCTTTGTGGTGGCTGTGATGGACAAAGGAAATGACAGATTTTTGGAGTGATAAGGGACATTTAGGGCCAATTGGGAGCAGATTCTATCTCTTGTGTGGAGATTCCTATGGATTTCAGATGAATGGGAATTGGGAAACCTCAAGAAAATAAAATAAGAATTTAAAAAAAAAAAAAAATTGTCACTTGCTAGGAAAAGATGGCTGAAATTACAATAAAACATTTGCCTATTGTGTGGATGTAACCTTCAGGCATTTGGAGTCATATCAACAAAAACAAAACAACAAGGAATAATGTATAGATAAATCCACCCTCAAAATATAAGAAAATGAATTTCTCGTATTTGCTGATGTCATAAAAATGATCAACGATCAATCTTTTTTTATTTGATTTGAAAAATAGTAATATAACATGATTGAAGCATTTATTTTTTCATAATATAGCATGATACTTTATTTAAATATCACCTATAGTCCTAATATGAAAACACGCATATAAAATTGAAAAAATTATTCTTGATAAATATCATTATTCTTCGACCTTGACTAAAATTACTAACTTCATAATTTAATTTTTGACCAAGTGCAAAATTTAGTGTGCAGTCATAGATAAAATAAAAGAAAATAATAATGGGATAAGTTTTGGCCTAATTGATATTTGAAGACCTCTATTTTTAAAAATTAATTTAGACGTCTTTAAATTTTAATTTAGATGTCTATTTAGACCTCTAACAAGAAAAAAATCTTATTTTTTAACAGAAAGATCTCTTTGAGAATTTTTTTGTCGATAGAATCTCTTTGATGACAGAATTAAAATTTAGAGACATCTAAATTAGTTTTTAGAAACAAAGATCCTTAAGTATTAATTAGAATAAAACTTAAGGCTCTGTTATTATTTTTTCATAAAATAAAAGAAATATTTCCCTATAATATAAAATGGCTGCTGAATTAAACCTAGCTTGAGGGATTGAAATTCAAAAGAATGGTCAATGCAGCACAAATTTATAATTGGCGCCAGAGCCACGCCAAACTGTCAAAATGAATAATTAATTACTTAAAATTTCATAAAAGAAAGGTCATTTAAGTAAAAAAACCGCAAATAGCCTCCTAAAAAATCCCAACGACTAGATCCTAATCCCTCCATCAAACAAGGAACGGCATACAAATATTTCAATTTACAAAAAATATTAAAAACAAATTTATATAAAATAATAAAAAATAATACCTAAATTCAAAAAATCCCAACACCAAGGAAACAAATCCACGCCAACCTTTCGCCACCTTCTTCACCACCATCATCACCACCGTAAAGCGGCCTTCTAACTGGAAATTCCTTTAAACCACAAAGCACAAACTTTCCATGACTCTCATGTTTCAGAAATGACCAGGACCCGGTTCTTTAGGAGCCGGTCCCCCGAACCAGACGAAGATACTACACCAACCACTACTCGTAGTAGTGGAGGTGGAACCGCCATGAGAATTATAGTACCATTACAAGGAGTGGTTCAAGGCAGAGGTGGCCTTTTCTTTGGCTCAGTGATACCTTGTGCTCTTTTTTACTTCCTCCAGCTTTATTTCAAACGACACCGTGATGACCAGTCGGATTCGGATGATCCAAATCCCCAAAATCAGGCGGCACCATCTCCGTCGGGGTCTGAGGGGAAGCTGATGGAGCTTTCTGGGTTTACTCGGTCTACTTCTCGGAGCTTCAGCTCTCCCAGAAGTCCAAGTGGACCTCCTTACTTGTCGAGTCGGGCTAATGGGATAGTGAAGAGTGTTGACTCTCCTTACTTTGTTGGATTGAGGAAGGCCGCGGAGGATCCCTATGACGAGTTAGGTAATCCGAATGGGGTTATTCAACTTTGTCTAGCTGAGAATAAGGTGAGTTTAGCTTATTCTTGGCTTTGTGTGGGTGGGTGGGGGTTGGTGGTGGTTTGTATTTGGTTTCGTTTTTATTTTGATGAATTAGTAATTAGCTTATTATGCCTTTTTTTTAAATAAAAAATATTATCTTTTGGCTGTGTAGTTATCATTGGATTTGGTGAAGGGGTGGCTAGTTGATAATGCAAGAGGAGCAACACTGGGTGATGAAGGAGAGGAGCTGAACATTAGTGGGATTGCTTCTTACCAGCCTGTTGATGGGTTAATGGAGTTAAAAGTGGTACTTACTAATCCATTTCCCTCTTCTTCTTATTCATCTCAATGTGTTTAGATCTTCTATTCAATATTCATTAAATAAATCACTTACAACATGAATTTCCCTGTTAAAGTGTTCTGATTTATATTAGTATGGAATTGTTTCTTTCTTAGATATATAATTTGTAAGAAAGGATTTGATAGGTTTTGGAAATTTGTATGTTTGAATTACTTAAAATTCATATTTTACTCACTAGTGTTCAGGCAGAAGACAAAGTGAAGATTCACCTGGTCATTATCCTTGCATAGTGAATAGAGTCTGTGAACTTTTTTGCGTTTCACAGTAAATCAAATCAAAAAGTCTACGGAGGTATAGGCTACAGGACTGTAGAATTCTGTCCACTTATAATGTTCTGTAAAATCTCTTTATCTGTGGACACCATTCCCCGGTTATGAAGAACTGAAATAAGTCATTTTATAAATGGTTAAACTACAAGGAGAAATGAGGAGTTGAGGAGTTGAAATTGAAGTTCAAGAAAACTAGAGGGGATCAGCTTAAAAATTCTAGCATGAGGTAGAAACTGCCTTCTGGGAGGTCAGAAAGAAATTCTAAGTGTTTCTTTTGGTTCTAACTTAATTGTATCACAAATGAGAAGTTAGGTGCGATTATTAAAAGTTTAGTTGGAAGAACAGTTCCTGTACAAACAGAGGAACGCCCATCTAAATTTCTTGACCTTAAAAAGTCATATTAGCTTTCACGTGTATTCATGTTTCTCTTAGTTTACAACGTTCTTGAATAGTTTTAGAACTAAAAAGACTTGGTAAAAGTTATCCAAAATCCAAAAACAACAGAAAAAAACTCATTGCATGTTGCTTGGTTAACTTGGGAAAAAGTTTAATAATGAATCATGCCGCCTGGTTTGAACTATAGTGCTTCACTCACATGGGCTGTGAATGTTGCTCTATTACAGTTGAACGGCATCTGTTTCAATTGCATATAGTCTCTTCTTCTCTAACTGCTGTTTCCCTGCAGGCTGTGGCAGGATTTATGTCTCAAATCTTGGAAAATGCAGTATCCTTTAACCCTTCACAAATAGTTTTGACAGCAGGTGCAACTCCTGCAATTGAGATGCTTAGCTTCTGTTTAGCAGATGCTGGAAATGCGTTTCTTGTTCCAACGCCTTATCACCCAGGGTAACTACTAATCTGTCTATTTATAAAGTTCATTCAAGTAACTTGCTATCCTGTGAAAGAATTGAGGTTGAAACACAATATGCAGATTTGATAGGGATGTAAAATGGCGAACAGGGGTGGAGATAATACCTGTTCCCTGTCGTAGTGCTGACAACTTCAGTTTAAGTATTACGGCACTTGATCGAGCATTCAACCAGGCAAAGAAACGTGGTCTCAGGGTCCGTGGGATTATAATTTCAAACCCCTCGAACCCTGTGGGCAATCTGCTTAACCGAGAAACACTTTATAACCTTCTGGATTTCGCTAGGGAGAAGAACATCCATATAGTCTCTAATGAGATATTTGCTGGGTCCACTTATGGAAGTGAAGAGTTTGTAAGCATGGCCGAACTCATCGATTTGGAAGATTCAGACAGAGACAGAGTGCATATAGTTTATGGTTTGTCGAAAGATCTGTCCCTGGCAGGTTTTAGGGTGGGCGTTATCTACTCCTCCAATGAGAATGTTTTGGCTACAGCTAAGAAGCTAGCAAGGTTCTCTTCCATTTCAGCTCCAACCCAGCGAATACTCATCTCCATGCTTTCAGATACCAAATTTGTTAAAAGTTTCATTCTGATTAATAGGAAGAGGCTGCAACAAATGTATGTTGCATTCGCTGCAGGATTGAAGCAACTAGGGATTAAATGCACAAAAAGCAATGGGGGTTTCTACTGTTGGGCTGATATGAGTGAGTTAATCAGCTCGTACAGTGAGAAAGGAGAACTTGAGCTTTGGGAAAAATTGTTGAATACAGCTAAGCTCAATGCAACTCCTGGATCTTCTTGTCATTGTATTGAACCTGGATGGTTTAGATTCTGTTTTACCACCATGACTGAAAGAGATATTCCAGTAGTTATGGAACGAATCTGGAAAATTGCTGAATCCTGTAAATCTCGCAGTTGAATTATTCAGGTTATTTCACAGAGTTAGATTGCATACATATTTTTTTGGGGGGGCTAGAGATGAATTCTTGCAGTAGCTTGTTTAATAATGGCTTTGGACAATAGAAGTACATAGAAGTTTCCGTGATATGTTGAGTGGTATTTGCTGCTGAAATTAGGCAGAACATAAGCAATCTTTAAATTTCTTGCTCATAGTTTTGAATAAATTCTTTCAAATGTATCATATCAAATATTTGCAAATATCAGATAAATATTTAGAATTCTTTTTACTATTCCAATCCCAATTTATTCTTTTAGCGGACTCAGAGCTGGTCTTATCTCAAATTTTACTGGCCACCTTAAAGATTCCACTTCATGTGCATGCAGAAACGAAAAAGAAAAAAAAAAAGATTGCAAAATTCAGTTAATTTTTGTATCTCTCAGCATATGAAATACAATAAATGAATCATTTTATTGGCGAAAGTTACAAATGTCAGGAACAATTTAATGATTGTAATTCCAAAAATGAATAAAGAAAAGAATGATTTTCTAATTTTTTTTCCCTCCTAAAATGCAACTCCATTTTCACTGCACACATGACTCGCACCAACTTCCAGCTAGACTACTTTCTTTGGTTCAAAATGAACATGGTTAATTTAACTCTGGGGTAGTGCAGGAAACACTCTAGAGCACTTTGATGACTACGAGGATTCTACTTCAGATCTTATGGACTCAAGAACCTGAACAACCTCAGCCATGCTTGGTCTTCTTGAAGGAACATCAGATGTACAAATCAACCCTAATTTCATAACCTGAATTAATTCATTCTCTGAGAAACCTCGTAAAATTCTATCAAAACAATCAGAAGCAGAGCCAATCTCCAATAAGCTACGAACATATTCACACAAAACGATTACCTCATTTACTGTTGGACTCTCTACCGGTTTCCTCCCAGTAACCAGCTCTAATAGAATCACTCCAAAGCTGTACACATCACATTTCTCACTCAATCTTAGACTTTGAGCCAACTCTGGTGCAACATAACCTACTGCATTATGGAACTTGGTTAAACCATAGTTGTCCAAAATAGGCAGCAGCTTCCCTAGTCCATAATCAGATAACTTTGCTTCATAATTTTCATCTAAGAGTATGTTAGTAGATTTGATGTTCAGATGCAGAATTGGAGGCCTACAATCATGGTGAAGGAAAGAAAGTGCTCTTGCTGTTCCTAAAGCAATCTGAAACCTTCTAGACCAGTACAATTCAGTATTCCCTACGCCAGTACTGGTTCCTGGATAGTTAAGTCCATGTAGATTATCATACAGATTACCATTTGAAATAAATTCAGATAAAATTAACTGCATTGTTGAAGACCAGTAATAACCTTGAAAAGCAACCAAATTTGGATGTCGAATGTTACCTAACCGACCAATTTCTTGCTCAAATTCATCTTGGTTTCTTATTCTACCCAGAGTCTCAAGCTTCTTCACTGCAATTGAAATCCCACCTTCAAAATCAGTTCTATATACTGTTCCAATTGACCCACCACCTATCAAACATTCCTTGTCAAGCAAAGCTTTGGTGCCAGATTCCCAATCTTCATATTTTGAGGGTAAAGTCTTGCTGAACAAAACCAACTTTCCTATTATAACAGAAGATTCTGCAGAACCCAATGGTGTGCTTTCAACAACCATTGTCTCATCCTCTCTTTTCCTACCGCGTGCTCTAATGTTCATGATTGATACTATACAAACCCCAGAAAGAATCAATGCAGCAGCAACAATTGCCACAATTACAGAATTACTAAGCACCTTGTTTTTCTTTGATGCTGGAGTTGTGCCAGTGCCTGAGCAAGAAATGTCTAAAGGAGGACCACAGAGCCCGGAGTTGTTCAGGAATGAGGATGCACCAAAAGCTTGGATCTTTGGTACCAAAGGAATTGGACCTGAAAGGCTGTTAGAGGAGAGATTTAAATGTGTTAAGTTTGGCAAATTTCCAAGGGAAAATGGGATTGGCCCTGAAAGATTATTTTGCGAGAGGTCAAGCAGTATGAGGTTTGACAGGTTTCCTAGAGTTTCTGGTATGCTACCATTCAGTTGGTTACCATGCAAGTCAAGGACTTCTAAGAAAGTCATATTGTAAAGTGTATTGGAAATTTCTCCATCTAAGCCATTACCAGAAAGATCCCTGCATCAGAACATCAGAAGTGTTTCAAATTCGGATCAACAGAAAAGCTGATAAAATTTAAAACATTTCAAGATGGCAATTATAGACTCACAGCTCCCGGAGATACTTGCAATTGCTTATATCTTTAGGAATTTCACCGGTAAGGTGGAGATTGTGCAAATCCAAGACCAGAAGGATGTCAATGCGTCCAAAACCTATGGGAATTGACCCACCAATCAAATTATTGCCCAAATTAAGAATCCGAAGCGTCTCCATATCTGCAATCCCAACTGGGATACTCCCATTTAGCATGTTAAACCCCAAGTTGAGAACTTCAAGGTTTTTGCAGTTTGTAATGCTCAACGGCATCTCTCCATCTAAATGATTACCTGAAGCATCAAAGATCTGCAGTCCCTCACTGCATGTTCCAATCTCAGGAATCTCTCCAGTAAAGCCATTGTGTGAAACATTGAAATAACTCATGTTTCGGAATCCTACAACCCCAAATGGTGCCAGTCCCGTAAACATGTTGCTGCCAAGATCCAAAAAATTTAAGCTTTGGCATCTTGAAATCTCCTCCTCTACACTCCCAGTTAACACGTTGCTGCTCAAAGACAAATACTTTAACACAGGAATATCACAAATTCGAGAAGGCAATTCACCATTGAGATTATTGAAAGAGAAATCAAAACCTTCAAGCTTAGTACAATTTAAGATTGAGACAGGAATTGGACCAGAAAGATTGTTATGAGATAAAGAAACAAACTTGGTTTTGTAACAAAACTTGAACAAAGCCGATGATATTTCTCCACTATACCCATTGCTTGACAAATCGAGGAACCTTATACTTGGCAAATCACCAATGAATTCTGGGATTGACCCAGATAAGGCATTCGAACTTAAATTTATCTTCCACAATGTGCTTAACTCTGCATATTCTTGTGGGATATTACCAGTAAACTGATTGCCAAACAATGTCAAAGTTCTCAAAGATCTCAAACCTGATAATGCTGGTGATAAAGACCCAGATAGGCTTTTGTTCCACAAAACAATTCTCTCTACTAACCCAAGCGAATTGCAGAAAATACCGCTGTAATCACAAGGATTGCCACTTGGAACCCATGTAACCAAGCTATTGAAGGGATCACGGGTGACGCTTGCCTTGAATTGCAGCAAGATCTCTTTCTCAGTAGCTGGTGAAACAGTAGAAGTGAATCCAAGAAAGCAAGAAATTAAGAGCAAAAGAGCATGAGAGACACAAAATTGATAAAATCTGCTCATGCTCACTGTACAAAAAAATGTTGATAAATGGATCTATCCGTTTGGCATTATTATTGATGATGGATCCAATTCAGACTTCCTACAGGCGACCATAGCATTTCTTCTTTACTAGAAGCAATTATTGGAGTTCTCAAAGTAAGAAATAGCAAATCACAATCATAACCAAATAGCAACATTTTTTCAATTTCCTCCGGATATTACTGAAATTAAAGAAAGCTCTTTAATTGCGACCACATTTGCACACAAAAACATGGAAATAGAAGTGAAATCTAAAAACCCTTTTGTTTATGGGCACATGAACAAAGATTTAAGGGGGTTTTAGCTATACTTTTCTGGGATTGAGTAAAGAAATGAAATTAATGGTGGCAGAGAAGCATTGGAAGAGACACGCAATGAAAATGGTGAAAGGGTGGTGGTGGTGATGGTGGTGGGGTGAGGAATGGAAATGGCAAGTGGTGACAGTACCTTGGCTGGAAAGGAAGCAGGTGAGGCAATTTAATAAACTGCTCTAAAAAGTCCCTCTATATATGTATGTAATGGTTGCTACCAAGTACCAACGGAGGATGAACCACGTGCATGTCCATTTCTCACTCTCTTTGTTTCTTTAAAAAACAATAAATTTGATTTCAAAGTTATTATGATTTACGATGAATTAGGAAAGAAAGAAAGAAACCTATAATTAATCTGTCTTGTTCACTGACCACTGACCAGCTATATGATCCTGTGACTGTGTGAAGCAATGCATTTATTCTCTCTCACCAACCAAGCCACATTGGTGACCACCTCATCAATACACAAGAGGGAGAGATAAAGTAAAGCAAAAGAGGAAGGAGAAGGGGAAGGAGAAGGTTTTCTTTTTTGTCTGTAGTGTTGACGAGTTCTACTTGTGGTGTTGTGCTTTTTGGTTAAGAGCTTTGAAGTTTCTTTGTGTCCGTTTAGACAGAGACTTTGAGAGGACATTCGTTGTTTTCTTTATTAGTTTTTGTAGTAGATTGGAACGTCATGCTTCTTATCCTATTATTATTATATTTTTTTGTAATTTTTTATTAAAAATAAATGACATTTTTGTAATAAAAAAAATTAAAAACACAGTAGAACATTCAGTGGTTGCATAAATAAGAACAGTTCATTCCAGCTGGAGAGGGGAATCATAATGCATCACTCATCTCCACTTACAAAGAGGAAGGGTACCCACCTCAGATCATCCCATCTGGATATCCAAACCTAGGACTCTTTCTATTGTAGTATTGCAGCTATCATTTTTATTTTTAACCTATTTTACTATAGCATTTTACAATGGAAAATTTTAACTAATAATGTCATTTGGTATGACTTACCAAAACAATGATCATGCTTCAAGTGATTTTGGTGCTTTCACTTCTAGAAAAAACAGTGAGATATTTCGAGTTTAAATTCTCTAAATTCTTTTACCAATTAAATGACTTTTGTGAATAAAAATAAAATTATATTTTTATTTGCGCAAGATTGTTCATAAAATTTAGTTTCGTTAAACCGTTTAAAATGAAACTTTCATAAATAGCAAATTATTGGAAGATATACTTGGCTGCTACAAATAATAAATAATTGTATTGATTAAAGTTTTTTAAAAAGAAATCAAATAATTAGCTTAAAAATTATGTTTACCATTCAATAAATTAATTTAGGGACAAAATAACATTGCATTTTTTTATTGGGATATATTCTTAATTATTGTATAATTAATATCAATTATTAAGCATTTCAAACAATAGAATAAAATTAATTAATTTTCCAATTGAACATTTGTAGCCGATTTTTCGCTGTACAATCAGTATTAAATTTCTCATTCAAATAGTCTATAAACACGAAATAAAATTGGCCAAAACCTAAATGGCATTAAATAGAATGCAAGTGGACCTACTGAGTCCTCACCAACAAAACAATTAATACCCGTTGATCATTCAATTCTGACTGATCATCTTGATTCTTAATTCCTTGACCCTCCGTTCTATGATGGTCCTTTATGCCGTGTTTGATCGGTTCCATATAAATAGAAACATTACCCCTAAAAACCGATCAGAGTTTATAAAAACAAGGAAATAGTTTATCTACACCCTGTGTTAGGGTAATCCTGTCCATTCAGTCAATTAAAGAAATTTTTTTTTTAAAATATTATTATTTTATTATTTTTTAATATATGATCAAAAATATTTTTATTTAAATTAAAATATTATAATAATTAGTTTTATATATAGATTGCAGCGTAAAAATGGGTATAGGTAAAGTTTTTTCCGAAAAACAAATCTGGATACATTCGGTCCAATTCAAATCTGGACTTCAATTCGGTTCAAACGGATGACCAGCGGGGCCCTCTGCATTGTTGGCACGTCTTTTAGTGGTCCCCAGAGGCTTAATCACGGCCTTCCGTTTCTTCTCTGTAATTGGCCATATCAACGTCAATACAACCTTTAATCCAATACAGCTGCGACACACTTTAATATGGCTCCAGCAGCAAGCCAAATCTCACCCTCCTTTAATGAGCGTGTAATTTTCCATGACACCTATCAAGATCTACGAGTGCGCGTGTAGTTAGTGGATTTGTTTTGAGCGTGGACTGGCAGTCAAAGCAATTTAATTTAATTTTATGACACACTCTCTTTCACAATTTCAAAGATTTTGCAGTAACTTTTGCCAATACACATTTGTTTTGGTCTGAAATTAGAATTTGAAGGTAAGACAACAACTTAGAACAAATGGAAAGCAACACAGGACATGTCAATTCTATTCTAATTGAATAAAACTATAATGGGAATGCTTTATAATAAGTGTTATGATATATTTTTAACTGATTTAGTTACCATTTATTAAGAAAAAAGAGAGTGTTGGATTAGAATTTTTCATCACTAAACTCGTAAATTTGCCAATTTAAAGGAATCATCTAGAGCTAAATAGAGGATTAGGTTCAACCATCTTTTTTTACAGGTCAGTTACTATAATAACCAAAGCCTACAGAGAACTGACATGAGCTTGTGGCCAACCATTACTGAATCAGAAAGTAGGATGTTTGGTGGGGTTAAGGGAAATATGAATGCATTGGATTTCACAAAGTCTTGAACTTTCCTAGAAAATTTAATGAGAAATAACGTGATTCCCATTTCTACAGGCATATTGATGTTGGACTTGGACACAAAGAATGGAATGAGATTCCTATTTTTGCTTCATTTCTTCATCAACTTAACAAATCCTTCTTTTGCGATTGTGGCTTCAGTTTCAAACTCCATGGAAAATTGAATGAAAAAGCACAGAGCTTTTCACACTGCGTTAATTCTTGAAATACAGAAAATGATGACATTTATTTGGGAAAATGCAAATATATATAAGAAAATCTTTGATGTCCTTGTCATTTCACTACCTAGAGATCACTCATATTCTAAACGTACAAAGGGAAATTAAATGAAAGGGACTCATGGATCCACATGCAGATTTCAATTATTCAATGGGCAAACAGTACAGGAAGGTCATGTTTCCAAAAATAATTACAAAGAGAAAACCAAAAGAGAAATTAAGATTAGACTCACTACTATGCATCTAAGTAGGATCTGTCCTTTTCCATGTCGGCCAAGGCCTTGAAGAATTAACAATTGCAAGACTACAAGAAGATTGAGCTAAAAAATGACAGGCATTTTACTCCACTGAAGAATGATAAAATAAATATGTTTTCTTTATAATATATATTTCATTTACAAGCAACAATCCAACTTTAACATTTTCAAGGCCAAGATTTCAATATCAATCATATACAAATAACAACTGAAACAAATGAGAGGCCTAAAGAAGTGGAAAAAAAAAATGAAGAAAAAACCAAAAAGACAAGCTTGCTCTGTATTCTATACTAGGTTAGGTATTTGTCCACTTCGAGTCTTTGTATAGCACCATCCACATCGTCACACAATGACGCCTTTCTATGGATGAAGTTGTTCAATAAAATAAAACCTCATCAAGTCCCACCAATGCTTAAATATGTTACCCTGAGAAGTCTCGGGTTGCAGAGAGTGTTACCCTGACCCAAATTATATTCAGAAGCTATGCCAGTAATGGTTCATCTTGCAATACCTTGAGCTGCCTCTTCGCATATATAGTAAAGATAATTGTGGTAGCTACTGTCGCACAGAAACCAATGACATTGAAAACAATTTGTGGAGCTGAAAGTGAATGCTGGTCATTTGAAGCATCTGCCAAGGTCTTTATAAGGATCCCACTGCAATAAATCCAAAGTTTATGAGTTCAGGAACAAGTCAAAGACATACTAGTTGCTAAGAACCATGTTCAATACCCAACCATTGTAGTCTACTTTCAGTTGATGACCAGCAGAAAAGTTCTATGTGTCATGCAAAGAAAATAAAAATAGACTGTAACCCAGTTGCCTAATAGAATAAAAGGAAAAGGAAAAGGAAAGCAATACACATGGCAGAGCTGACGATTTCACATTCTGCAGCGAGTAATGATTTCACTTTCCTTTTTGCTGAAGTAGGCATGTGCAAGCAAAACAAAACAGAAGCAAGTGATCACAGGAAAGAACAAGTGGAAAAAAGAGGCAAGAAACTTGCTGACAGAGGTGATCTAATGAATCTGCTAAAAAATGCAGCAGTTGTTCCTTGAACGGATGATTTCACATGCTGCAGCAAGCTAATAACCAGTATTCACAATGTTTCTGTGGTTGGCAGTTGAAAGTTTATGACATGATGACAACAGGGGAAGAATCTCACATTTAGCAGAAGTAAGTGGATAAAGAGCACTCGTGAACTGAGGAAGATTGGAAGATTAGATGCCTTGATCAAAACCCTTAAAATGAAAATGTGATTATTAAAATTTTATTAAAAGGTTATCTAGTGAAATTAGGCTATAGCCTATTTGTCTTCCTTCTAACAAAAGTTACCCTACTTAATCTTGGCAACTAAGAAAGAACTTTGCCTGCATCGTCATTTTCCAAACGAGCCCACAGCACCAAACAACAGACAAAAAAAAAAAAAAAATTTCTTCCCTTCTAACAAAAGTTACCCTACTTAAATCTTGGCAACTAAGAATAGAACTTGCCTGCATCGTCATATTTTCCAAACGACGCCCACAGCACCAAAGCAACAGACAAAAAAAAAAAAAAAAAATTAAAAAAAAAAAAAAAAAATTCAAACAGAACACATGCAACATCAAAACCTGGATCACCCAACATATGCTTTTCAATGTGCAAAAATACTATGCTTCCTAAACTCATTACATTTCCTCAAAAAGCACAAATCATGCTCAAGCCAAACTTTGACAACGCAATTGGATATACACATCATGACCATTCTATCCTCCCCATCTACCCAAAAGCAACTTGTGGGAATAAAGCAACGGTTGATTACAGTGTCAACAAAGTCCTGAAGTAAGCAATCAAAACATTCAAGAGCCAGAGAAACATATCACGGGATGGTGGAAACCTATGTTTCAAGCACATATAGAAACATATGCATAAATTTTGAGTGTGCGTGTGTGTATAGCTTGCAGATAGGGCATTTGATAGAGTAGAGTTCTTACGTGTAGATTGCAACAAAAATCTCTGGCACCATTCCTATCAATGATCCTAAGATATAAGGACCATATTTAACATTTGTGGCAACAGCACAGTAATTATATAAAATATATGGAAATGGAGAAATCCTGATTAATGTTACAGCTTTAAACTGATGAAACCAGTTTCCTTCACCAGCTGCTCTCAAAATAGCAGCTTTTTTTGGATATTTTTCTAACCAACCCTGCATCAAGAATCATGGAACTACATTAGGCACATTAATAAATAAATGGTGTAAATAGTTGAATGGAAAACTTGGTGCAAGGTTCATACTTGAATTTTATGAAGGAACAGTGAGCCAATGATATATGGAAGAGATACACCCACAGCTGCTGAAGATATAATTAACAGAAATCCAAAGCCATAACCAAATGTCATCCCAGCTACCCACATAGAAGGAGTAGAAGGTAAAAGTAGGGTGGGGAATAATGCCACAGAAACAAAGACCAGAACTGCCAGCACTGGAGTGCTAAATGTTGTTGTCTCCCAATTTATGATGGGAATGAGCTCCTGAAAAATGTATTAATCAGTTAGAGACCAACTTCAATAATTGCACAAATAATACGAACTTTCTTAGCATTTTAGCATCAGTTTCACAACTGAAGGGAATACTAAAAGGCATCTTGTTACTACCGAATCAGAACACACAAGAACCAGAACAATAATATTCAATGGCTAAGGAAAATCAAGCAGCAAAAAATGCCTAAGACCATGAAACTCAGAACTGAGAATACACTTATAAAACCCTCAGCATATCGATTAACACATTTACTCATAAAGGTTCTAATCCACTTAAAAGAAACGCTAACTAAAGCACTGCTAAGCATAGGATTAAACAATCAAATAAAATCCACACCATCTTCATCAGAATACATTATTACACAAATAAATCCACATGATAAAAATTGTCGTGTCAAAATATTTAAGAGAAAATATCGGCCAACATTTCCAATTAGATAACAACCCAACAGAGATTCGTAGTAAAAAGCATAAGAACTTGATTTTACAAATAACAAGACCTGCATTTAAAAAAATTGCATAAAAAAGAAACCAGCTTCATTCTAGACAAGCATTATTGCACAATTTCACAGGAACAGAAGAACACCAGAAATACCCTCCACAAGCAATGAAACTGGCAAAATTAATGGGCAAAACCATCCCATTCACACAAATCACTAAGAGCAACCCTATAAACAAATTACTAAAATCATTTTGAAAATCAGAATCAATAAACCCAAACCACACTCATATATTGAATCCTCCCAAGCATAAAAATTCATAAACAAAATAATGTTATCCATATAAAAATACCCAGCCAATTTCCAGAAATGGACTGCCTACTTGGGCGGCTTGTGACATCAAAGCAAATCAACAAGGGAAAAAACAAACAGTGAACCGAAATCACAAATAGGCATCGCTTCAACCACAAATGCATAAAATCTAATTAGCAAAACTAACCTTGTCCATGAAAAACGGAGCCACCCATTTGAGGCAAACAGCAGCCAACAATCCCAAACAAGTAAACAACAAAGCTAACTTGACCCAATACCATACCACAGACCCCCTCCATCTCCATAAACAAAAACTAGACCCTTCTGCAGCCGCAACAAATCCCCCATCTTCCACCTCACAATCTCTCAATTTGACATACTCCCCATTGTTATTACCCTCTTCATTACTGTCAGCCTCCACTCTCATCGTCAACTGTGACACCACAATGCCATCCTTGTTATAAGTCATCTGATCAAAGCAAAAACCCTAAGAAGAAAGAGAAAATTGAAGTTTGCAACTTTCTGTTTGGTTCTTGAAACAGCCGAACTGGGAAAATCTCAATGTGTGGCCATTCTTGGAAACAAAGAGAATGGGAGAAGAGAAGACTGGCAGGTGAAAAGCAGACGATCAATGAACAATTTCAGAAGCGAAGGCCTTAAGTTATAAAAAGCAGAGATTTCTGTTTCGCGAAATTCCTAATTAATTAAAAAAAATAATGGAATATTTCCGCTACTTTATTCGTTTCGATTATGCCACATATAACGGCGCCGTGTCGTCGTTATAGGTTAGCCGTTATCATTTGTATTCCATACTGGCAAAAAACACGCTGACTTCGGTATACAGATACGTGGCGTAACGGGAGTGGATATTGTAACGACGTGGAGTTAGGGTGATTTTATTTTCGTGACTTTGCCGTCACGGGAAGTATTTTAACTTTTAAGTCAGTGAGTCAGTTACCGTGTTGGTGACTGAGTAACTCAGTGCTCGATTCGCTTGTTGTTAATTTTGGACGTTAGTTCTCGCTTTTGTGACACCGTCACAGTAGACAGACACGGCATGTTATAAGTGTTGCTTCTATGAGCTTTGAGTGTGCAGGAGATGTTGCAATCAGAATGTGACGCGTGTAATTAAAAGTAAGATGGCTTAAAATAAAAATCTCCCGTTAATTGAATATACAAAGTAATTTAAATTTTATGAAATTACTATCTCAAATTTCATAATATTTGTCGTATTTAAAATTTTATATTACTTAAAAAAATTATTAAATTTATTTAAATTGTAATAAATTATTAAGTAAAGTGACTATATTTTTCTTAATTTAATACTAATTTTCTGAAAAAAAATTAAATTAAAGTAATAATTATTGATTATATACAAATAGTAAACACGAAAAAAAATATTTATTATTTCTTAAAACCATAAATATGTTGAAATCAACTATTTTCTGACAAGTATTATGGAAAAGATGCGGTATATAATTCAAATTCAATAATTAACTTCTTAGTTGTGATTTGATAAATATTTCTACCATTATTAGATAAAAATAAATTCAATACTTGATTTTTCTTTCTTTGACATGAAATCAATGCTTAATTTAAATGAGAGTATTTATGCTAATACACTAGAAAAAAAATAATATCAAATTCTTTTTATAAGTGATAATTAATTTATAAATTAATATATGAGTTGATTCTATTAATGGACTAATGCTCCGTTTTTTTTCATAAAATAACTTGCAGAAAAATAACTTGCTAAAAAATGTTTTCCATGAAATATATTTTCCTAGAAAAATGTTTTCAAATGACTTATTTTCCGTTCTTTGGTTGTAATATTGCAAATTAGTTAAAAATATTAAAATTTTTATCTCATAAGACCATAAAAATATTAATAATAGTATAAATTTTATAATTTAAAAATTTTATTGTTAAATATAAAAAGAATGCAAAAAAAAGTAAATTACAAAAAAGCCGCCGGCGGTGGTGGTGGTCGGTGGTAAATAGTGACTGTTTTTTACCGTTCTTAACTAACGAGTTACTCTAGAGGCGCTTTCTATATGTGGGGTAGCTGGGATGGAATTTGTTATGGACTTTGGATTTCATGGAGATTAATTTTACGTAGTAATATGTACTTCCAGCAGCTGTGGTGGTGAATCTCTCCACATGATACTAATTGGCGTCACTGTTCCTATCATACGAGGTGTCGCGCAGGAATCACAGTATCGTCATACATAACGTCATAGAGAGGTATGTGAGTGAAGTTTAGGACAAGTTGTTGTGGCAGTCCAAAGCGATTTTTTTCTCACTTCAAAACTCATCTTTAAGAACCGATATTATATTTATGTCAACTGTATGCGGAGAAGTCTGCCGGGCGATACATAGTGGGTGAAGCGTAGTGTTACTGAAGTGCAGTATGTAGTTTACGTTCTTGAGAGTGTAACGATAGTAGATCGTGACATATTAGATGGCAGGGTTTGGGTTAGAAAGAATAATACCAAAAGATAAAGCATGCTATATTTGAGAGACGAAGCTGGTGAAGGAAACAGATGGGTTTCATCACGGAGTTTAAAAGCTGTAAGATTAATGACAGGGAATTTCTGCCATATTCCCATATATTTTATATAAGTTACTGGATGTGCTGTTGCCCACAAATGTTAAAATAGTGGTTGCCTTATATCTTAGAAGATCATTGATAGGATGGTGCCAGAGATTTTTTGCGTTGCAATCTAGCAGAAAACGATTCAGAACTCTACTCTATCAACATGCCGCTATCTGCCAGGCTATACTACAACGACACGCACACTCGAAAATGTATAATGCGATATGTTCTCGGATAGGGTGTGCCTGAAAACCATAGTTTTTCGCACCATGAGGATACACACGAGAAATGGGATGGATATGTTTCTCTGGCTCTCATCATGGAAGCTAGTTTAGATGCGAATTGCTTAACTATCAGGGACATTGTTGTGTGACTACGGTGTAAGATAACGTTTATGCTTTATTCCCGAACAGTTGCTTTCTGGTAGTAATGGGAGGATAGAATGGTCAATAGAGATGTGTATATCCAATTGCGTTGTCTAAAAGTTTGGCTTGAGCATGCG